GTTCGATTATGGTCAAGGGCATGTACTTGGTTGCAGGCACATCTCCAATAGGGGGTGTGCAAGAGGCAGCTGATCGATGACTCTCTCTCGTCGATGTTTCTAATTCGCTCTCTCTCTCCCTTCCTCTCTGTACAAAATCAATAAAATATATTTAAAAAATAAATAAATAAGTACTGTGTCATTAAGGTGGCCAGGGTCACCATATATTAACTAATTAATGATGCTATCTTCAGAATTAAATGTGGTAACTGTTCACACCTGCTTGTGTAATTGCTTCTGAAACAGCGCCTCATTTTATTTTTATATGTGGTCAGGTTTTCTGGTTTGTAACTGTGGTTATTACTTGCATGCTCTGGGGAGGCTTTTGACTTTGTTTCTGTCTTGCTGCAGGCAGCTTGATATTTTGTTCAAATAGAATCACTGTTTCTGATTTCTGTCAGTATTAAAGCTTATAAAAGATAAGAAATACCATTAGATAATTATCTTTGTATTTTAACTAGTTAATGATTTTGTAGTTTTTATCAATGAATAAACATATTTTGATAAAGGAATTCAAACCACAAAGTCATTTTGATAGGTTTCATTAGTCAAGGTTTATAAATTCAAGCTGAAAAAAAAAAAAACTCTATTGAATTTCTTGCTTGCTTATGAGAATATCTGATGGAGAAGAATGAGAGACTTTCTGTTTCTATTACACATTTTTTATTCATGTATTTTCTAATTTTTCTAAATTTAGCATATCTTTAATTGTATGTTTTGTTGTGAATATTAAAATAAAGGAATAATTAAGTATAATTTTTCTTATAAGACATCTGAATTAAGATAAATCAGCCTTATTTTAAAAAGAATATTCAATACATAATAAACTGTATTTATGTTATAGATTGTTAAAAATTATATTTAATTATTATATTTAAATACTACAAAGTAATATTTCCATCTGTGTAATTGAAGAATATAAAAGTTGCCAGTTGTTGAGTCAAAAGTTGAAGGACAAGAGGTACTTATAATAAATACTTGCATATACCATTATACTTACAAGAAATACCATGGGAATTCTATTATTCAGCCAATGAAACTAATGTGTTTTATATTTTGCTATTTAATAACTTCCATTTTTGTTTTAGAAGAATGTATTTGTAGATATATTTTATACAAAATGAACTTCTAATTTTGAGAATATAGCAAATTTTAATGGCTCTTTAAAATTTTAAATAATTACTTATGGTGAATTGAAAACACAACATAACTCATTTGATCCTAAAAACCAAACTGAATAACATTAAATAAGATAGCTTTAAATAAATTGAAATAGTAGTTTATTAGAATTTTTACTACTTTCACTTTTAAAAAAATAATGTTTTTTTATTGATTTTAGAGAGAGAAAGTATGAAGGATAGAGAGATAGAAACATTGATTGGCACATGCCCTGACTGGGAATCCAACTGGTGACCTTTTGATTTATAGGTCAATGCTCAATGTCTGAGCCATACTTTCACCTTTTTAATGATGCTATTTAAAAATAGACATCTTTGCTGATAAAAAGTAGTACACTTTTGTATAATACTCTGTTTCTGCCTGATTTATCCCAAATTCTGAATAAAATTAACTACAATTTTAGATATGATTTTTTTTTAAAAAAAGTAAGCTGTTCCACCTTTCTTTAGTCTCAAATAATGTTCCATACTTTTTCATTGAAAACATTGGATGAGATAGAATATATATTCAGTGAGACTTAGTTGAGCTGTAGAATAACAGAAAAATGTTCCTTGTAAATTTTTGTGCCACATAAAGATATAATATATAAAAATAAAATATTCAAAACTACTATATACAGAGTGAAAAAAATCTAGAATTATCCTATTCTATATTAAGTGAATAAATCAGTTACTTTACACTGACTGATTTATGTTAAGGTCCATTTAGTATCCTGATTGGTACTTTGGAAACTTTGATGAAGTTCAGTTTTCCACTACTTTCCCCCTCTCCTACTTGTTTGCTAGATCATAAAACTGGACAGTTTTCAGTTGGGGGGAAATTGTAATTTGTTCTCTATTTGGACAACCCACATTTTTACCATCTTTTTAAATGATATCACTGAGGTTAGAGAGATAAACCTCTTCTCATTTTTTTCTGTTTGGCTTAAAGGATCTCAGCTGAATTAAGAAGAAATTGACTTCTCGTATGGAGGAGCCAAACTAAATATAAAAGGTGTGTTTCTTCATTTTTTCTAACTGGCCATGAAAGATTCATTGCCTGAAATTCTAGGAGGCTGAGAGCAAAATACATTGTATCATAGTTTTCAGAATTTATAGCAAACAAGCAGAATATTTTGGGAAAGTTTCTGATAATTGAACTTTAGATGATCATAGTAAGCTGTAATGACTTTTTATAACAACTTATTTATTTTTTTTAAAGCATTTATAATATAACTTTTTAAAAATATATTTTTATTGATTTCAGAGAGAGGAAGGGAGAGGGAGAGATAGAAACATCAATGAGAGAGGATCATTGACTGGCTGCCTCCTGCACGCCCCCAACTGGGGATCGAGCCCACTCTCCGGTATGTGCCATTGACTGGAATCAAACCTGGGAACCTTCAGTCCACAGTCTAATGCTCTATCCACTGAGCAAAACTGGCTAGGACTACAACTTATTGACATATAGGTCATATGCTGAAAAATTCGCCTATGTATAATTCAATGATTTTTTAGTTAGGTCAAAGAGTTGTGCAACCATATTCAATTTTAGAAAATTTTTATCCCTCAAAATGAAATGCAGTATCAGTCAGCAGTTACTCCTCACATCTTCCCATGTTTGTCAACTTTCGGCAACCACTACTCTGTTTTTTGTCACTAAACTTTGGGCATTTCACATTATAGAGTATGTCATTCTTTTGATTCTGACTTCTTTCACGTAGCATAATTACAAGGTTTATCTACTATGTTGTAGCTTGTATCGATACTTCATTTTTTTCATTGTCAAATAGTATTTTATTTGTATGGATATTGTGTTTATTTATGTATTCATCAATTGATGGACATTGAGATTATTGCACTTTATGGCTGTTATGAATAATTCTACTTGAACATTCTATACATGTATTTGTATGGGCATATGTTTTCATTTCTCCTGGATTTATACTAAACAGAGGAATATAATAACTCTGTTTAACTTTTGAGAAATGTTTACATTTCCATCAGCAGTGTAGGAAGGCTTTAATTTCTTCACAGTGTCCAATATTTGATATTATCTGTCATTTTGATTATAGACATACTGGTGGTGTGAAGTGGAATCTCATTGTGATTTTGATTTGTATTTTCCTAATGACTAATGATATTGAACATATTTACATGTTTGTGTTGAACATTTGTGAATCTTTTTGGAGAAATCTTTTTTCAGATCTTTTGTTCACTTTAATTGGTTTGTCTTTTTATTATTGAGTTGTAAGAATTCTTTATACATTCCAGATAGAAGTTCCATGACAGATAGAATTAGCAAATATTTTCTACCATTTTGTGGGTTGTCTTTTCCTTTTCTTGATGGTGGTGGCTTTTAAAATACAGAATTTTTTTTATTTTGATGAAGTCTAATTTATGTATTTTTGTTTTGTTCTTGTGCTTTTGTTATTGTATCTAAGAAACCATTGCCTAAGCCAAAGCCATTAAGATTTACTTTGTTATCTTCGGAGAGTTTTGTAAAGAGATGTAGCTCTGATATTTAGAGCTACATCCCTTTAAAGTTTATTTTTTATTGTACTCTAAGGAAGGTATTGTGCTTCATTCTCTTACATGTGGAAATCCATTTGTCCCATCAGCATCATCAGTTGAAGTCCTTTTTACCTATTGAGTAGACTTAGCACCCTTATAGAAAATTTAACCATAAATGTGAGGATGTATATCTGGAACCTCTGTTCTACTTCACTGATATCTACGTCTACCATATGTCAGTACCACATTATCTTTGTTGCTGTAACTTTTCAGAAATCAGGAAGTGTGAATACTCTAACTTTGTTCTTTTTGAAATATTTTTTGTTAATTTTTGGTTATTTGAATTTCTATATAAATTTTAGCTTGTCAATTTCTGCAAAAAAAGAAACTAGCTTAGATGTCTATATGTATTGAGTTAAATCAAATTGGTGAGTCTTGACTTCTTAACAGTGTTAAGTCTTTAGGATTCGGGGATATGAATCTTATTAGGTCTTCCTGATTGTAACAATGTTTTTTAATTTTAAGAATACAAGTTTTGCATTTATTTTATAAAATTTATTCCTAAATATTTTATTCTTTTTTAAAAAAATATTTTATTGATTTTTACAGAGAGGAAGAGAGAGAGATAGAGAGTTAGAAACATCCATGAGAGAGAATCATAGATAAGCTGTCTCCTGCACCACCCCTACTGGAGATGTGCCCGCAACCAAGGTACATGCTCTTGACCGGAATCGAACCCGGGACCCTTCAGTCTGCAGGCTGACGCTCTATCCACTGAGCCAAACCGGTCTTGGCAATATTTTATTCTTTTTGATGTTCTTGTAAATTGTTTTAAAGTTTGTTTTTGGATTGATCATTGCTAGTGTATAAATATATAGTTGATCTTTGTTTATATTGATCTCCTACCCTGTAATTTTATTTATTTATTTTTATAAAAGTTCTAAAACTTTTTATTGTATTGCTTAAGATTTTTTTTTATCTACAATGTCATGTCATCTGCAAATATAGTTTTACTCTACAATTTTAATAGAAATTATTTCATTTATTTTATGGTACTTACTAGAACCTTCAGTGCAGTGTTGAATAAAAGTGGTGAGGGTGGACATCTTTGGTGTGAAAGAATTCAGTTGTAGTGATTTTTTTCCCCCAACTCTAAAATGAGCCATAACTTTGTTTTAAAGGCAAACTTTCTTTGGATTTAACATTTTTTCTTCTGTTTACATACACAGATATGCACTGATTAGAAAGCTCGCTTGTGCAGTGTGGAGGATAAGACAGTGCCTTACAAAAATGGGGTTTGGGAGTGACCTGAAGAATTCACATGAAGCTGTGTTAAAATTGCAAGACTGGGAATTACGGTTACTGGAAACAGTGAAGAAATTTATGGCTCTGAGGATAAAAAGTGATAAAGAATATGCATCTACTTTACAGAACCTTTGTAATCAAGTTGATAAAGAAAGCACTATTCAAGTGAATTATGTCAGCAATGTTTCTAAGGTGAGAGGAATAATTTCACCATTTATTATGCATAGCATTGTAATTGTGCTTCAGGCAAATAGGTCATACTACATATGGATAAATCCCATGATACATTCTTGTTATCATTAATATTGCGGTAAGTAGTTGATTATCTTTTGAGTACTTTAGATAATAGAAACACAAGTCTTTATGTTTACCCATTGAGTTACAATGTACAGTACCCTTATTTCTTGTTGTATATCTAGATTTGTTTCTGGTATCATTTTCTTTCTTCTTGAAGCACTGCCTTTAACATTTTTATAATGGAATTTTGCTGATAATTCATTTTTTTTTTAGGTTTTATAAGTATGAAAATGTTTATATTGTCTTTATTTTTGAAGAATATTTTTGCTGTTTATTTTTTCTTTCAACTTCAAAAATACCATATAATATTTCCTTCCACTGTTGCTGATGAAATATATGTTATTCTCCTCCCCCCCACCTTTGGCCGTGCTTAAAATTTTTGCTTTATTGCTGATTTTATTTATTTATTTATTTATCCTCACTTGAGGATATTTTTTCCATTAATTTTTATAGAGTGAAAGGGAAGGGAAGAGAAGTGAGAGAGAAACATCAGTTGGTTTCCTCCTTCACATACCCAACCAGGGCTGGGGATTGGGATTAAGTTTACAACCAACGTATGTGTTCTTGTTGGGAATTGAAACCTGGACACTATGGGGGCTAATGCTTTATCCACTGAATCAAACTGGCTAGGGCTCTTTATCACTGGTTTTAATCAACTTGTTATGTGCCTTTGCATAGTTTTCTTTATGTGTTTTATTATATCAATAGTTAGTTTCTATTATTATGTCCTCCATTTCTCTAATCTTGTTTTTATGTAATGTCAGATCTGTTGTAAATTATATCTATGTATTTTTCATGACAGATATTGTTCATTTCTGGTGCCCTTTAATAATCCTTTCAATGAGATAAACTCTGACCATTTTCCTGACCATTCCTCTTCCAGCAATGCTACTTCCTCCCTCCTTCTCCTTTCTCTGACAGTCTCACTTTGTGTCTTGCCAGTATTTAAATTTAAATATGCCTATGTGTGCCATTTCTTTATTTTCTCACACCTGCCAAAACCCAGCTCTTTTACCCGACATCTGTACTGTAGTTTAGGGAATTGGAGAGAAGGAAACAGAAACTGAGTAGCTGATCCATTTCCATGTTGAAATGAGTAAATCTTAAAAAAAAAAAAATTATCTGTTATAGTTCAGTAGAATCTTTTTATATCCTCCACATCAACTTAATATGTTTATTCTTTAGTTTCTTGAACATGTGGAATACAGTTATAGTAACTGCTTTATTCTCCCTGCCTTCTAACATCTGTATTTTTTCCGGGTTAGTTTTGATTGACTGATTTTTTTCTCTCATTTTGAGATGTATTTTTCTGCATGGTAATCTTTGATTTGATGCCAGGTAGTGTGAATTTTACCTTTTTAAAGTACTAGGTTGTTTTGTATTTTTTTAAATGTCCTTGAGTTTTATTTTGGGATTTGGTTAAGTTACTTGGACACAGTTTGATCTATTTGATTCTTGCCTTTGCATTTGTTAGGTGGCACCAGAGTACATGTAATCTAGGGTGAATTTTATCTCCTCTATTGGGGCAAGATCATTCTCAGCACTCATAGGATGCTCTCCAAATTATTACGTTTTACACTCTGGCTGTTGGGACCTGGCAGGGTTCTGTGGCTCTGTGAGCTCTGGACAGTGTTTCCTGTAATCCTTATGGGAGAGTTATTTCCTTGGCATAGTTTCCTCAACCCTTAGCTAAATAATCAAGAGGGTGTCTTTTGCAATTCTCCTGAGATTTTTCTTTGTGCCGCTTTCTTCTCTCTAGTACTATATTCTTATCTCTTCTCTAGTATACTGATTCCCCTGGTGTCTCTGAACTTAGTCTCTTAAACTCACAGCAATTCATGTGTTCTGGTTGGCTCTTTCTAGCTTGGCTGTGGCCTGAAAATTTTCTCAATTTGGTAACCTGGGTTCACTGTTTTTCATTGCCCTGTATCCAGTGGCTTGAGTACTGTCTATTAAATGTACTTTGTTCAGTTTTTAGTTGTTTTAGGCAGGAAGATAAAGCTATTCCTGTTACTCTGTCTTGACTGGAATCAGAAGACTTGTGACTAGTGATTTTGATGTCTTTATTTAACAAAATTAAAATGTATAGCTGAGTTTCAAGAATAGAAAAAATTCTCCTGTGCCCTCCAGTCTATTCATTAATTATTAACATTTTGCTAAATTTGCTCTGTGTCTCCCTTTCTCAATGTAATTGTGTAAGTGTGTGTGTGTGTATGTGTATAAATTTGAGTGATTTGCAAGTTAGTTGAAGCATCATGTTGACACCTTCTTTGACAAGCAAACACTGGGTCTTTTTAAGGCAAAGTGCCAGTTTATTATAGTACCTATATATTCTTAAGTCTGTGCAAAGTTTTTATTAGGTTCCTTCCTTTTTTCCAGTATGTCCCTGATGAATTTTTTGTGTTGTAACACCATTTTCCCATACGCTCTGTGGTTTTTACTGTGATTTTGTACAGCCCAGTGATTATTAGGGATACAAATGTTTCATTACAGCAAAACTTGTACATTAGAATTACTAGGGAAACAAAATACTGATATCTAGACCCCTTCTGAAATGTATTAAATCAGAATCTCTGGTTGTGGGGTTTAAGAAATGGTATTTTTTAAAAGCTCCCAGTTGATTCTTATTGCAGACGGAGTGGTGGACCATTGGCCTAAGGAAACTAGAAAATGCAGACACACAGGCTCTTCTTTAGGTTACAGTTTTGATTTAAGATTGCATTAGAATATTAACATAAAAAATAAATCTGTTCATTTACAGATTAAAAACATTAGAGCAGAAAACAACTGTAAATATCTAAAAGCATATCTTGTCCATCTTTAACAGGGATTCTCTCTGTGGTAAATCTCCAATTATTGTTTCTGAATAGGAGACCTATAATGAAGAGCATTCCTCTGTTACTTTTTTCAGTATTTATAAATTAGAAAGTATAATAACAAATGACTTGTCCTTTTCACCATTTTGTGTCTCTGCTCTTGAGGCAATATGCTGTGCTGGAAACCATTGAGGATTAATGATATCTATTAACAACAGAGAATGACGATAGCTAGAAATCCAGAGATTGTCTGTATTTAAGACATAAGCAGCAAAGATGGCCAGGTAGAAAGACTGGGAAAGCATCTTTTGGAAGGGAGGAAGCAAGTTTGTATGTGGGAAGATAAGAACTCATACAAGCCAAAATAGAAGAGTCAGCAAGATCTGATGCCAGACAGAGACAGGTTTTGAATAAAGACTGGAAAATTCTGTTGCATCAGGAAATAGTGACCTTTTTGAGGAATTAGAATGGTGTGAGCAGAAACAATATATCATTGTGTTGAAAACAAACAGAAGCCCTAGCTGGTTTGGCTCATTGGATAGAGCTTCGGCCTGTGGACTGAAGGGCCCTCGGTTTGATTCCAGTCAAGTGTGTGTACTTTGGTTACAGGCATCTCCCCAGGCTGGGTCCTGGTCAGGGCGCATGTAGGAGCAACCAGTTGAGGTGTTTCTTTCACATTGATATTTCTCTCTGTCTTTCCCTCTCATTTCCACTCTCTAAAAATTGATGGTGTGGAGATTAAAAAAGAAAAGGAAAAAAGAAAAAGAAGAAAAGAAAAACAAACAGAAGAATGCAAGTGTGAACTCTCTGAGTCCCTTTAGTCCCTTTCCTAGTATTCTGCATAGTCTCTGATTACTTACAGTTGAAGCATTAGGATTTGAAGTTGAATATGTTAAATATGAACCATTCATAGCTTAATGCACAATTGATAGAAATCTATTTTTATCTTCCTGTAATCATTTGTGTAACACTAAATGTTTAAGCTTCTTGGACAATTAAAGCACAGCTAAATGCAAACTTTTAATACATCCTAATTTTATTTCTTTGTGTTTTTAAAAGTCTTGGCTACTTATGATTCAGCAGACAGAACAACTTAGTAGGATAATGAAGACACATGCAGAGGACCTAAATTCTGGACCCTTACACAGGCTCACCATGATGATCAAAGATAAGCAGCAGGTGAAAAAAAGTTATATAGCTGTTCATCAGCAGATAGAGGCAGAAATGATCAAGGTTTGTCTTTATATTTTCTTTAATGGCTTTTAAATGCACTGAAATATTTTATCCTGTTTGACTGTTAAAATTGTTTTCTTTATATTTCCTGACTAGAAATAAGTTTTGGTGTCTATATTAAATAACATCTTATTTTTATTGAATGTAAGACATTATTGATTATAAGGTACTAGAGGCCCGGTGCATGAAATTCATACACTGCGTGTGTGGGGGGGTGTCCCTCTCAATCTGGGACTGTTGGCTCCCACCCACTTGCCTACCTGCCATTCTGATCACCCCCTAGGCACTCCCCTGCTGGCCTGATTGACACCTAATTGTTCTTATGCCAGCCTGATTGCCCCCAACTGTCTGGTTGCTCCTAACTTCCCTCCCCTGCTGGCCCGGTCACCCCCAACTGCCTTCCCCTGCTGGCCTAGTCACCCTTAACTTCCCTCCCCTGCTGGCTTGGTCGCCTCCAACTGCCCTCCCCTGCAGGCCTGGTCCTCCCAAGCTGCCCTCCCCTGCAGGCCTGATTACCCCCAACTGCCCTCCCCTACCAGCCAGATTGCCCTTAACTGCCCTCCCCTGCCAGCCATCATGTGGTGTCCATCTTTGACCACATGGGGGTGGCCATCTTATGTAAGGGCATGAGGGTCAATTTGCATATTACCTCTTGATTATATATGATACTGTTACTTTATGTATTCTTACAAAAGAAAAAATACCACCAATTAAACTATGATATAATGCTTTTTTTTTTTTTATCACATAGAACTTTTATTTTTTATTTATTGAAATAGCTCTTCTAAGCTTTAACATGTTTGTTTCTTTTTAAAAAAATATATATTTTATTGATTTTTTTTTTTACAGAGAGGAAGGGAGAGGGATAGAAAGCTAGAAACGTCAATGAGAGAGAAACATCGACCAGCTGCCTCCTGCACACCCCTAGTTGGGATGTGCCCGCAACCAATGTACATGCCCTTGACTGGAATCGAACATGGGACCTTTCAGTCCGCAGACTGATGCTCTATCCACTGAGCCAAACCAGTTTTGGCAGCTTTTTTGAGCTTTAAAAAAATTGTATCATGTAGCATTAATCATAAAAGAAAATTAAAATAGATTAGGATATTCTAAATTTCTCTATATTCAGAGTGTGTCCTTTCTGGATAAATTTTACAGTGTTTTAATTATGAAAATTTCCAAATGTACAAAGGAGGAGAGAATAGTAAAATGAATTCCTATCCACCCTTTCACCCACATAGTAAATTTCTTTTTCATCTATATTCTCAATTACTTTTCCTTCTATTTTGGATCATTTTAAGGAAAATTCCAGATATTTTATTTATAAATATTTTAGGATATATTGCTAAAATACATACTACTCTTTTTTATGACACAATTATATTATTACTAAACTACTTAAAAATTGAACAATAATTCCTAATGTTATTAAATATCTTGTGTTCAAATTATTGTTGTTTAAATGCTTTTTGTCGTTGGTTCATTTAAATTAGGATCCAAATATGCCCATACATTACATTTGATTAATTCTCTTTAATGTAGGTTGTCCTCCCCCCTCTTTAAAATGCCATTTATTTGTGGGAGAAACTGGGTAATTTTGTCCTATAGAATTGAATTAACTTTATATTGGATTTTGTTGGTAGCATCTTGTGATGTGATTTCACGCTTTCCTTCATCTGCCAATTTTCCTATAAACTGGAAATTAGATCGAGAGATTTGATAAGATTTTTGCTGTTTATTTTGGACAAGTACACATCAGAGGTGCTGGTATAGACTTTCTCTTGTTTTATTTCAGAGGTATATAACTTCTATGTCTGCTTATTTATCATTTTGTGTTTTTAAATAAGACTAACGGGTTCCAGTTTTGCCAGCCTGATTAATCTGTTAATAAAGTTTCCCTTCTGCTTTTCATCTAATAGTTTAGAAACAATTTATGTTCAGTGATTAATGTATTACTTCAGTGAGGTTTGCATAATGGCAAGCTTTTTCTTCTATAATTCCCGATGCAATTGTTAGCTGGAATTTTTCAATTAAGACTTTCCCTAGATGAACTATTAGTTACCCTGAGGCATAATTTAAAAAGGGAAGGCAGGATAAATGCTTGCTTTTTGCTATTAATTTGCCAGTTTGCAAAATAATGAATTGGCTCTTTACAACTTCAAAAGTTAAGGCTTCCAGTTTCTGGTCAAGCACATAAGAACTTTGGAGGTTCATTCAATCAATAAGTAAAAGGTTGAAAAATTTAAAAAATGAACAACTCTTCTTAGGTGTATGAGAGAAGTGAAGTCACAGGGCCAACAGCTGCTGCCAAAATTAGAGAGACTGACAAGCCAATATAGTGACACAACTTATCAGAGCCTCTTTGGGAACCAGTGCTGGGTGCAGAAAAACCTGAATGGTAATTGACAAGTCCTGGAGTTTCAGTGTGGACATCTGTAACAATTAAAAACTTCAGGAGGACCCAGTTGTTCAGTAGCCTCCATACTTTCTTTGAGTTTTACCTCCTGGATCTCTACTAGGTTCTCACAGTGAACATTGGAGAAAAGTCTCATTGTCCTAGTTGGGGAAGGAGAAAAGAAACCATTTTGTCACATGCCAGAGTATTCTGGTCTTCTTAACAAGATCTGCCCTTATGAGAAACTGTTTAACCAGAGCTTAATAAACTGGGGGAAGGGAAATATGCAACTTTGGCCCATGCTAGCCATCATGTTTCATGAAAGGGGGGTTGGGGACTGAGAAACACATGTAACATTCACAGTTCAGGGGCACAGGCTTAGTAAAAATCTGAGACCTAGTCATGGGACTGTAAAATAATTTTCCTCCCTGACAACTTTGTCACCACATTAGTAAAGCCCTTATTTACATCAGTTCCTTTTTTCCAAAACATCATGCTTGTCAACCAAGAAAAAATGGTAAGGACTACCAAAAGGGAAAAAAAAAGTTGGAAGAGACAGAGAAAAATATGTAGAAATGTAAGCAAATATTAGAAAAGAAGAAAGATCTAAGAGCAATAATCTAATCTTTTACCATAGGACAGAAGAAAAAGAAGAGGAAATTGAATCCACAGTAATTAGAAGAAAATAAATAATAAAAATTAGAGCAGAAATCCATGAAAGTGAAAACAGGAAATCAGTAAAGAAAACAACAAAATGACTGGTTTGTTGAAAAGATCAATATAATTTCTAAACCTCTAGCTAGGCTAATTAACAAAAACACAGGACAGAAAAGATTACTAATATCAGAAGTGAAAGAGGTATATCACTACTTATCCCTTGGATATTAAAGGCTTATGAAGGAATACTATGAACCTTCAGTGCCTACAAATTTGATAATGTAGAGAAATGAGCCAATTCCTTGAAGAACACAATCTACTAAAACTAAAATGAGAATAAATAGATAATCTGAATAGGCAAATATCTATTAAAGTAATTGAATTATTAATTAATAATCTCCTAAAACAGAAAGTATGCTCAGATGGGTTCACTGGTGAATTCTATCAAATTTTTAAGAAAGAAATCCTACCAATTCTTTACAAACTCTTTGAGAAGATATAAAGAGAGAGAGTTCTTAATTCATTCTATTTGGCCAGCATTACCCTAATGCCAAAACTAGACACGATGTTAGAAGAAAAGAAAACTACAGATTCACATCTCTCATGAGCATAAACACAAAAATTGTTAATTATTAGGAAATCAAATACAGCAATGTATCATAAGAATTATACACCATGACCAATTGGTGTGTATTTCAGGTATGTGACTGGTTCAACATTTGAAAATCAATGACTGGAAACCATCACATAGCCATTAATAAAAAAAAAAAAAATCAGGTGATTATATGAATTGATGCAGAAACAGCATTTGACAAAATTTAGCACTCATTCATGATAAAAACTCAGTTGCCTTGATAAAGAATATCTATAAAAAACCTACAGCTAACATCATACTTAATGGTGAGAAAATCAAAGCTTTTTCATTAAGATCAGGAACAAGACAAGAATGTTCCTTCTTACCACTGTTTCTTAATATTATATTGGAAGTCATAGCTAATGCAGTAAGACAAGAAAAAGAAATAAAAGGTATACAGATTGGGAATAAAGAAATATAGCTGCCTTTATATAAACCTAAATATAGATGACACAATTGTCATCTATATACCTAAATATAGATGACATAATTGTCTATGTAGGAAATTAAAGAGAATCAACAAAGAAACTCTTAGAACTAAGTATTATAGCAAGGTTGTAGGGTACAATGTTAACATACAAAAAAAAAAATGAACAAGATAAGAGGCAACGAACAACAAAACATATACATTAACATCCTCCCAAATGAAATATTTAGGTATTAATCTAGCAAAGTATTTACAGGACCTGTAGGATCAAAATGACAGAACTCTAATGAGAGAATCAAAGAAGAAATAATTTGAGAGATATCCAATGGCTGGGAAGACTCAGTATGATCAAGATGCCAGTTATTTCCAACTTGCTCTATAGGTTTAACATGACCCCAATAAAAATCCCAGCAAGTTATTTTGTGGATATTGAAAAACTGAACCTTAAGTTTATATAAACAGGCAAAAGACCCAGAGGAGTCCATAGATTACTGAAGGAGAAGAACAAAGTCCGAGGACTTTTACCTAACTTCAAGACTTACTCTAAAGACACAGTAATCAAGATAGCTTGGATTTTACATAAGACAATAGACAAATACATCAATGGAATAGAACAGAGAACTCTGAAATAAATCCACATAAATACAGGCAAAAGATCATTGACAGAGTGACAAAGTGAACACAGCAGAAAAAAGATTTTAAATTAATGTTGCTGGAATAATTGGACATCCATCATTATGCCCTTTATGAAAATTAACTAAAATGGATCAAAGTCCCAAATATAAAATATAAAATTATAAAATGCCTAAAGGATAACATAGGAAAAAACCTAGATAACCTTAGTATGGTGATAACTTTTTAAGTACAACACTAAAAGCATAATCCATTAAATAAATAATTGTTAAGCTCAACTTAATCAAAATTAAAAACTTGTGCTTTGTGAAAGACAGTGCCAAGAGAATGAAAAGGTAAGCCATACTAGGAGAAAATATTTGTGAAAAACATATGATAAAGGACTATCATCTAACATATACAGAGAACTCTTAAAAATCTACTAAGAAAACAAACAGCCTGATTAAAAAATGGGCCAAAACCTTAACAGATTAAGAATTGGGCCAAAAGCTACACAGGTGGCAAGTAAGCACATGAAAAGGTGCTGCCCATCATGTCATCAGGGAAATGCAATTGAAGCAAGAATGAAATACCACTGCATACTTATGAGAATGACCACACTCTCAACCCTGACAATACCAAATGCTGATGAAGACTGGGAGCGGTAGGAACTCTCATTCATTGTTGGTGGGAATACAGAGGGGCCCAGCCACTTTGGAAGATTGGCATTTTCTAATAAAACTAAATATACTCTTGCCAGAGGATCTAGCAATCACACTCCTTGGTATTTGTTCAAAGGAGTTGAAAACTTTGCTGTGAAAGTGAACCTCCCCCCGCGCACACACACACACACACACACACACACACACACACACACACACGGATGTTTACAGTAGGTTTATTGATAATACCAAAACTTAGGAGTAATCAAAATGTCTTTTATTAGGTGAATGGATGAACAAACTGTGGCACATCTAGACAATGAAATATTATCCAACATTCAAAAGAAAGGAGCTAGAAAGCCATAGAAAGACATTGAAGAACCTTAAATGCATATGACTAAGTAAAAGAATACAGTCTGAAAAGGCTATGTGTTGTCTGATTATAATACTGTATGATATTCTGGGAAAAGAAAAACTATGATTATAGTAAAAAGATCAGTAGTACTGCCAAGTGGGCACTTGAAATATTGAAATATATATGATTGTCTAACCACTATGCTGTACACCTAAAATTAATTCAAAATAATATTGACTGTAAACTGTGACTGGAAAAAAAAAAGTGGTTTCCAAAGGTTAGAGAAGAGGGAGGAATGAACACGTGGAGCACAGAAGATTTAGACAGTGAACTACTTTGTATGATGCTATAATGGTAGATACATGTCGTTGTATGTACAACACCAAGAGTGAAACCTAATGTAAATTGTGGACTTGGGTGATAATACTTTTTATTTTAGAGTCATCACTTGTAACAAATGCTCTTTTGGGGCTTTGTTGCTAATGGGGGAGGCAAATGTGTGTGTGTGTGTGTGTGTGTGTGTGTGTGTGTGTGTGTGTGTGGTCGGTGGGAGGTATATGGGAAATCTCTGTCCTTTATGCTTAATTTTGTTGTGAAAGTGAAACTGGTATAAAAAAATAAAGTTCATATAAAGATGTCAACCAGTGAAACTTTTATAAAAGGAAATGATTTGAACTAATTTCTATCTATATTATAGTTATTAATATTTTTATTTATTTGCACAATGTCATTCTTTGTCATATCAAATATGATGGTGATGTAATATTTATTAGAAGTGGGCTCTGAGATTGTTTTCTTATGCCCGCTTGGCAAGTTTTTCATACTGCTGATTTCTTAGGCTTCTCTGAAGCTGCACCATAAATTTTTCAAACAACATTTAAGATTCTTAATTTTGTTCTCAATTGCTATTTAAATGCCTTTTTGACAAGAGTCAGGAACCTGCATTTGTCTAGTTTTTCTGTGGAAATAATCAAGTTCTTGCATGCATGTAGTAGTTACTATTTATGATTATTGCTTGGCTAACAGTGATTGTTAGGTGCACTTTTTTTTCAGAGATGTTACAATATCAAAAAAATTTTTCATTAATAAAGAAATAAAAAAATAAACCATGCTAACAAAAAATCATGATAGAACTGATGAATTGTGGCAATTCAGAGTGACTCTGTACAATTAAAATAAATATTTAAATTAGCTTTTATATAGGAGAAAATATTTCTATACACAGAATATTAATTTATTGGTCTTTAAATTTTAGATGACTGCAGCACTGTTTCTGATTTGCTCTCTTTTTAAGAAAGTTTTTTTTATGTGCTGTTGAATTTATCACTGATTTCTAAAGTAATTTTTTTCTTTTAATCCTCACCCGAGGATTTTATTTTTTTATTTTATTGATTTTTTTAGAGAAAGAGAGAGAGGAAGAGGGAGAGAAAGGGGGAGAAACATCTTTGTGAGAGATACATGTTTTGGTTGCCTCCCGTATACACCATGCCCGGGGATTGAACCTGCAACCTAGATATATACCCTGACAAGGAATCGAACTTCAACCTTTTGGTATACAGGATGACACTCCAACCAACTGAGTCACCTGGACAGAGCTAAAGAATTTATTTTTTATCCTCACTTGAGGATATTTTTAAAAATTGACTTGAGAGAGAGAGAGATATGAGAGAGAAACATCCATCAGTTGACATAGAATCTGAAACCTAGGTGTGTGCCCTATGTGCTCTGGCCGGGAGTCGAACCTGTAACCTTTTGGTGTAAAGGATGATTCTCCAACCTACCGAACCATCTGTCCAAGGCCAGGGCTACAGTAATTTTTAAAAATTGTATTACGTCTCCTTTTTCCCTGATTGACTCCCCCCCACTAATTTTTAATTTATTTTCTGTAAATTTGGGTATTAAAGAGCAACTTTGACCTATAAGCAGTAAGGTGCACATTGGAATTTAAGTTCCTGATCATGTAAATTTATGTTTTAATTTTTTTAAAATTTCTTTTTTTGACAGGTTACAAAGACGGAATTAGAGAAATTAAAATCCAGCTATAGACAATTAATAAAAGAAATGAATTATGCCAAAGAGAAATATAAAGAAGCTTTAGCTAAAGGTATGGCAAAATTATGAAAAAAATGTTTATTTTAGTGCTTTTTATTATCATTTGAGTGTTATCTTTATAAATAGTGGAATGATTCCACTTAGACCAATTTACATTAAAAAAAAATACCGTAATATGCTTCGCTGGCCGTGGCTCAGTGGTTGAGCATCAAGTCTAAGAACCAGGAGGTTGTGGTTCAATTCCCGGCCAGGGCACATGTCCAGGTTACGGGCTTGATTCCCAGTGCGGGGCATGCAGGAGGCAGCCGATCAGTGATTCTCTCTCACCATTGATGTTTCTATCTCTCCCTCTTCCTTCCTCTCTGAAATCAATAAAAATATATGTTAAAAAATACCAAAATAGACTGATTGTGAAATTATGTAATAATTCTTCCTTTATAAAAAAATGATGCACAATATTTCTTATAGTGTATACTAAATGAAATTATGTAACATTTGTGTAATAGAATGCAAAGTGTTTAAATTGATCTCTAACATCAGTCTTAGTTAATTAATGAGCACTGAATAAGAAAAACAAGGTTGTATTTGCTTAGAAATCTTTTCAATCCCCTTTTTACCATGGTACTTAAAAGCCTTTAAAATTACTAGATCATATAATACACTTCCTCACCAACACTTATTGCTCCTCTCCCCCTATTTCTTCGCTTTCTATTTAATAGCCTTATGCTTTAGTCTTTATTATTTCCTTCTGCGTTGTTTAGGCTTAGTTTGTACCAATTATTCTATTTTCTTGATGTGGAAGCTAAGATCATTGATTTGAGAAATATCTTATTTTCTTTCCTAATTAGTACTATGAATATCCTTAAGTACTCTTTTGCAACATTATATCCTTTTTATATACAAACATGTCTTCATATTCATTCAGTTCAAAATACTTTCTTATTTCCTTGTGTTATTTTTTGATTTATAGGTTATTTATAATTGAGTTTTTTAATTTTCTAAAGTTATGGCATTTTTGCTGAGATGTTCTATTTTTTATTCATAATTTAATTCCATTTTGGTCTGAAAATATTTTTTTATGACTATTTCTTTATATTTATGTACGTGATATATATTCCATAGCATGGTATATCTTGATTCTTCATCTATATTTGGTAAGACTATGTGTTCTATAATTGGTTGGAGTGGTTTATTTGACAGCTTGGTACAGTTGGTTAATATAGTTATTTAAATATTTAATGTTTTTACTGATTTTCTGCTTACTTGTTCTATCAATTATTGAGAGGGGGCAATTGTAATCTCCTAATGTTATTGTGGATTTCTCTTTCTTTTTACAGTTCTCTCAGTTTCTTGCTTCATGTATAATATTTTGAGACTCTGTTGTTAGGTATATAACTAGTCAAGTTTTTTACATTCTCTTAATGACTCTCTTATCATTATGAATGACTTTTATTATCCCTCGTATTAGTCTTTGCAGTGTTATCTATCTTATCTTCACAATTTGTTTTCCTTTGACAGCTTTTAGGATTTGCTTTTCATCATTGGCTTTGAGTAATTTGGACATGATATGTTTTTTTCTTTTTAACTTGTGTTTGTGGTTTCTGAGCTTCTTGTATATACCTGAGAGTTTATAGTTTTAATGAGTGTGGAAAACTTTTTAAAAAATATATTTTATTAATTTTTTACAGAGAGGAAGGTAAGAGAGATAGAGAGTTAGAAACATCGATGAGAGTGAAACATCGATCAGCTGCCTTTTGCACACCTCCTTTTGGGGATGTGCCCACAACCAAGGTACATGCCCTTGACTGGAATTAAACCTGGGACTTTTCAGTCCACAATTCGATGCTCTATCCACTGAGCCAAACCGGGTAGAGCAAGTGTGGACAACTTTTATCCATTATATATTCACATATATTTACTGTCACTTCTCTTTCTGCTGTCCTTCAGAGATTTTATAGGTTCTTGTGTATTAAGCTGCTTGTAACTGTCTCACAGCCTACTGATGCTCTGATTATTTTTTCCCCTTGTCTATTTTCTCTTCTGTTTTGTTTTGGTTAGTTTCTATGGCTATGTCTGTAAATTTACTAATCTTATTTTCTAGTTTACTTAAAGATATACTGAAGTACTAGAAAAGATGTTCAAAATAACTACCTCATATTTATGTATTCTGATGTGACATATTTTTTGATTTTATATGAATAGAATTACCCTAGTGTTTTATATTTACCAACCTTCAAAATAGACAATAGCATTTGTAGGAGTTTCTCTTACATGGGTAGAAGTCTGAATGCTTCTGTTTTATCAGACATTTTGTTCAGGAAAAAAACAAGACAGGATGAGCCACTCCACAAGACAAATGCTCATACGAGCCAATCTGGAGAAATCTGAAGGGAGCTCTCCTCACACAATTCTATGACAAAAGTGGGAAACAATCTTTCTTTCAAATTCTTCTTTCTGTATGAGAAATACAAAAGAGTGCTAAGAGATTGGTAAATTCCCTGATTATTTACAAGCTCTCACTACGCAATGCAGACCGAGTAAGAGGGCATCTATAGCTAGATTGTGGTGAATTAGCTGTTACGTCTCATTCAAAAAAATAAAAAAAGTAAAGTTTTCTGTAATTGGCAGTAGATTTTCTTAAATTGTCTCTTTATTCGTTATGAATTGTTCTATGATATTTTATAGCCAATTAAAATTGATTAGATCCATTGAGTTTTCTCTTTAGAGTACCTTAATTATGAAAACCACTTTGAAATTAGCTCATATCTCAGCAGATGGTTAATTTGTGTTTAAATAAATTCAAATTTTAAAAAAATGAATAAAACTTTTAAAATCTATTTTAGTTGATTTTCTCATTTTGAGTCCACTAATAATGGTAACTGGCCTTCTTAGTCAATAATCTCTAAATCTTTGAGATTTAAAAAAATTAAAATTATGTATGGATGATGAATGGAGGTTCTCTAGAAAAATATTCTGAAATTCAAATTTACCTCTCAATTCAACATAGAAAAGAAATACATTTGGATACAGGACTTGCTAAAGACCAACAGAGAGTTTAAGCTAAGTTTGCTGATTATCAATTCTATTGAAAGTGACCTGAAAGTGAGAGGTTTTTCTTTTCTTTCTTTCTTTCTTTTTTTTTTTTTTTTTGACCTACTCATTAGTATATGCTATATTAGCAGCTAACTTAAGGCATGAATGCTTTTCCCTGCATGGAGCTTAATATGATAGGAACTCTACAAGGTTATAAAGAGTAATAGCATTTTTAGTTACTAATCTAAATTTGCATTTGGTTAAAGCTAGAGAAATGGAAGTGACAGTTATAATGTTCTTATTAGATACTGAAATATTATGTGGTCAGACAAACAAATAAAGAATTTTATTTGTTTAAATTTATTTTTAAAATAAGAACTATACCAATTCATACATTTTCTGGTTTTGTGCCAGGCACTGTTATTTATATTAGGAATATTGCAGATAGCAAAATTTCCCAAAAATCCCTGCCTTTGTAAGGCTTACATTTTAGAGCAGAAGATAGCTAATTAATTAAAAAAAAAAAGTGAAACAGTATATTACATGGTAATAATTACAATGGAGAAAACACTATAGGTAGATAGGGTGTTTGGAGGTTGATCAGATTAGTTGTCATGGAGAAAGAGACCTTTAAATAAAGAGAGAAGGAGGTGAGGGAGTGAATCATGTGGTTTTATGGGCAGAGATTACTCCACGACGGAGGGGATAGACAGAGCAAAGTCATTGAAATGGGATCATGCCCAGCATATCTGAGAAGTAGTATAGTCATTTGTGTAGCTAGACCTGAAGGATTGATAAGGGCCAGGCATGGAGGTTTGAGAATCGGAGGAAGAAAGATGGTGTTGGCAAGGGAGACACAGATTATGAAGGGTTTGGTAGTTCTTTAAAACCCTTTACCATGAGTAAGATGGGAAGCCATTGGTGGGTTTTGAGCAGAGGGATGACATGAACTAACTTACATTTTTACAGGAGAATTCTGGTAGTCTGTTGAAAATAAGAGTCTGAGATTGGGGGAAAGGTGGACGTAGAAGACCAGTTGCTTCCAGGCTATTGGAGTAATCCAGGCCCTGGTTTATGCTATTATACTTTGGACTGCGTAGCAGTAGCAGACGTGATTAGAAGTGCTCAGATTCTGGCTATACAATTGATTCTTGTTATTTTTGGTAGTTATACTCTATAGAATTACTGTGAGAACTAAATTAGCATCACCCAAGTACTGAATCATTGTCCCTAGTAGAGTCACAGTTTTGACAGTTGAGCAATACATCACCAATACACCTAACAATACATTGTTTTGTATGTGTTTCGTTTTAAAGACACTTTATCCTATCTAATAAAGAGGGACTATGCTAATTGACCATCACTCTGTCACAAAGATGGCTGCACCCATAGATGAGGCCAAGTTCCCTTAAGGAGCCTTAATGAGCAATCAGCAGGGACCTGAGGCTACACCCTCTCCTGCCTCTGTAGGGCTTGACAGGGGACCTCAGGCCACAACCCCCATTTGGCAGGGTTTGACAGGAGACCTCAGGCCATGCCTCTTGCCCTGGCATCAGTCTGGGGAACCTCAGCCGAGCCTCTGCCTTGGCACCAGGCCGGGGGACCTTAGGCCATGCCCCACACCCGGCAGGGCTTGACAGGGACCTCAGGCTGCAATCCCTGCCCCAGTGCCAGGCCAGGGAATCTAAGGCCACAACCTCTGCCTGGTGGGGCTTGAGAGGGGACCTCAAGGTGCACTTTCCATCCTGGTGCTGGGCTGGGGGACCTCAGGCCGTGCCCCTCACCAGGTGGGGCTTGACAGGTGACTTCAGGCCATGCCCTCCACCCAGGCACTAGACTGGGGGACCTCAGGCTGCACACCTTGCCCCAGCACAGGGCTAGGGGACCTGAGGCTGCACCCCACTTGCCTGGCCGGGCTTGACAGGGGACCTCAGGCTGTGCTCCCCACCCAGCAGGGCTTTTTAGGGTACCTCAAAGTGTACCCCCAGTGCTGGATTGGGGGAACTCAACCTGAGGTTG